TAGTCAGATACAGAATATTGCAATGGAGGAAAGAACAACTCCCAAAATTACAACCAACAAAGCATAACCTCAAACTATTAAGCTCTATAATGCAGCACTCAAATTGATTCTGGATGAAGAAGACATTATAAATCTCAATGAACAATATATGCATCAGCAATAGCAGCAACAAATAAACTGAACATCAAAGTAAAAAAAAGGGTCTCACAGACATGAAGATCCACCTTGGAAAATAAAATAGAAAAGAAATTGAACACCTTAGAAGTGAATTGTAAAGAGGAGGTAAATAAACTAGAACAAGAAGAGTCGAAGAAAATACAATGAATGAAAATGAAGTCCTATCTACTAAAGAAAAATATTCAAACATACAACTGAAGGCTCAAAAGAATAAGACAAAGATCAAGATTCTATAGATTAAATCTTTCAAACCGATGCAAAGAAATTTTACAGGGGAAATAGGTAAACAAAAGAATTGAAGTGACAGTCCCCCTAAAATGGAAGAAGTTATACAGTTCTGGGGAAAAATATGGGCTTGCCCTAAAAAGAAACAAACGAAGAGGCAGATTGGATTGCGCAAGAGTTAGAACGAATGAAAAAATAAACCAGAACAGACATAGGGAATCACAGAATGAAGATGTTAAATGTACTGAAAAAGCACACAACTGGAAATCTCCAGGAATAGATAAAATTCCTAACTAGCTATATTATTTAAAGCACAAAAAACTCGCAAAGAACTTCAAGAAATGATTTACCGATCCAACTAAAATTCCTGCATGGATGACCAAAGGTTACCTTTCTTCTACCCAAAATAGTGAACAAATATTCCGAAAACTATAGACCAATTACATGTCTTCCAACAACATACAAACTGTTAACATCTATTTTAACAAAAAAACATATTTCTTCTTGGAAAGAAAAATGACATACACCACTTGAACAAAAGGGGTTGCAAACGAGGCTCTACGGATGTAAAGACCAATACTATTAATAGGATGATCCTGGAAAACTGCTTCCATGGAAAAAAAAATCTTAGTATTGCCTGGATAGATTATCGTAAAGCATTCGATAGTGTACCACATTCCTGGATCTTAAAGTCTTTAAGTATGTACAAAGGTATCACCGTTATCATCAATTTCATCAAACAATGTATGTCGATATGGAAAACTACACTTTACCTCAATCATAAAAATGGAACCTATAAGTCTGGCGAAATAAACATCAATAGAGGAATATTTCAAAGGTGACTCTTTGTCTCCTTTTTATTATTTTGCATATCCTTATAGCATTAACCAGCCAACTTAACAAGACAGAATGCGGTTACAAAATAGCTCAAAAGAAAATAAACCATCTATTTTACATGGATGACTAAAATTGTAGGAATGACAATGAGCTGGAAGGTCTTCTGCAAATAAAATGCTTAATACATCGGAATGAAATTATTTGGATAATGTGCTAGCTACAGTTTTCGAGATCCCGCTACAACAAACTTCCTCTATTAGTTTAGACCCTGCTGCTAACAATAAAAAGATTTAGAACAAGGAGAAGCTTTAAGTGCCACCGTAAAGAATGAAGGAACTGGCAAGAAAAATGAAAGAAAAGTGCGTAAAAGAGTACTATAGAAGGGTACGACTAATTTAAAAACTGAATTGAATTCTCAGAACAGAATTATGCATTAATAACCTAGCCATCCCAGTGGGTCCATATATCTTGTTTCAACACTGGACTTAAAAATGACATCAGACAAAATGGATTCCTCAAAACAAAAACATCTTTCTAAGTATAAGATGATCATCCAAAGGTAAATAACATACCCGTAAAGAAGGTGGAAGAGGTCTTATTCAACTAGAACGACAACAAACGTTACTAACTTACATGGAAACAACAAATGACTGGATGATAAAATTAGTGAAACAACATGAAAAACAGAAAGAAAAAAATATTCAATAATAAAAGAAGGGTAAATACAAACAACATTTACATTTAGTAGATTCTGTAGTAAATCAAAACAGAAGCCAAGAACCAACTATTGCAGCAAAAGATATGAAAAAGAGGCCAAAAGCCCTTGAACAGATGAAACAACGCTGGCAAGACCTCTGCATAGCCCAATATCCAGAACGCAAATAAACCCAATGTTGATAAAGTTAATACTCATTTTGAACCGATTAAAAGTCTGAAACTGCTTTATTCTTGTACAAGTCTTTTCATAGGAATTTTCAGGCAAAGAATACATAGAGGTTCTGTGACAAATACCAAGAAACAATAGACCATCTAATCTCAGGATGTTCTATACTTGCCCCAAATGAATATAAAATCGTCACGATAGAAATTGGGCAACATTTACACTGGACAATATGCAAACACTTTGGAAATGTGTAAGCAAACACATGAACATATTATGAAATAGAAGATGTCACCATTCTATGGGATTATACCATCCCACAGACAGAAAAATTTGCAAATGTGACATTATCAAAAAAACCAGAAAGAAAAAACTTGCCTACTACCCGATATGTGGCTTGTCCAGCGGATTGTAACATAGCAACCAAGGAATTTGAAAAACTATCAAAATACAAAGACCTGGCGAAATAGAAAAATGGAAATTGAAAACAAGAATAAAATAGGTAATTGGAATTATAAAAATGGGTAATGAAAGAATGCACTTGGAATTATAAAAATGAAACCCCATAAGACATACAGAAAATTGTCTTAGCTAAGAGAACTTTGTCTTGAACTAGCAACTTCATCGGAAAAAAAAAAAAAAAAAATTAACATGAGAATTTATGACCTGCCTTAGGTCTTTCCGCAGAAGGTTTCCAAGAAATCGAATGATGATGATGATGACAATAATAATAATAATAATAATCTTTCCAGATAATAATATTACTGGTGGTTATTGTGCCA